AAAACCCATCCGACTGGGAAAATAATAGCAATTTGCTCAGTAATCCTGGAGATTTTGCTTGGTCAGGGATCAGGGTTGCAATGAGCCAACCTCATTGGTCTGAATAAGCTGACCTCAATAGTCTGAATTTTCCTCTGAAATCACAATAAAAAATTCAGACCATTGAGAAGAGACCGGCTGGCCCCAGCTCTTTTCTGCAAGGTGTTAACAAATAAGCTGTGGCCCTGCAGAGACATGGGAGCATCAGAGACTCGGCTTGGGAAGGCGGCATGTCCTACTTAATTCACCACGGTGGGAAAAATCCGCTCTGCTGCCTCCACTCCAGTGCTCACAAGACATCACATCTCATTCGGCATGTTTAAAAAACCCTCAAGTCAAACGGCTGAGTACCTGGAAAATTACCAGACCGCACGTTCAGCAGCGCAAGTCGCTGTACAAAATGAATGCTCATCTCCTGAATGATGATGGTGTGTAGGTCAGCATTAATCATCTCAAGAAAGTCTACCCCACTGCCTCACTTTTCCCTCGAACTGGCTGTTCCTCTCCTCCCATCCCAATCTACTTCTAGCCCTGAGTGCCCCCAAAACATAGCTATTTTAGCATCGCTCCCTCTCCTCATTTCAGGAGATCTGGACTGTTTATTAATTATTTTCTGATACACAGCGATGAAAGGAGGAACCGCTTGGAGACACAGATTTTTGTAACCCAAATGAGACCAGCATTTTCAGATGCTACTATTGATTGTACTGAGGTTGCAAACCCCCTGGAGCAGGATTGAATTTCACCCTGCATTTGTGCCATCTGATGCGATCCTACCCCTTCAATATATACTACTTCAAAATACTATTCTCAGCAGTGACCTGAGGTTGGCTAGATCAATATTTGTTTACTCAGCTTGGGTCTAATTTTCGTATGCACTTGGTAATCCAAGTCCACCTGAATGCAACAGAAAGGGCCACTGCTGCCTATTGCATGAACCAGGCAGAAACGTGCACCCTTCCTGAAACACCACCCTTTAGGAGCAACTCTTGAGGAAGGAAATATGACTCAGTCTTGGGACAACACGGTCCAAATGTAAACCCTGGTGATTCTGTGGACACTTTGGGGTGGAGGGGTGACCACTTGAGCCCTTGTGAGCTCTTCGCTTCCAGGGATCATCTGTTTGGGAGCCATTTTTCCCCCCCCTCATTTAAGTCAGTCCCTTTGCAGCACATTTGAGTACCTTTGCAAAATGTATCAGAAGTGCAGCAAACTGGCCAGTTTCTGTCTAATTGCTGAGAAATATTCTTTCACCCTGAGCAAAACTACGCAAAGGGGCCTAAAGGAGCAGCCTGAGATAACAGCACCTTATCCTGCCCCTGGGATGCTCTTACGGTGAAATCTGTCTTCATCCCATCCCCTTTATGAAAAGCAAATGTGAAGACATCGCAGCACTGATCTTTTTTTCCTTCCCGCAGGATTTGGGGAGGAGGGGAATGAAGAAAAGCTGGTGCTGGAATACAAAGTTCTGATTTTGGATATCTTTTCTTTGGGCCCGGGGGTGTGAGGATCGGACACAAAGCTTGAGGAATGGCTGGATGGGGCCTTGCTGGGGTACCTGAAGTCTTATCAAAGGCACTCAAAGTCGAGGCAGGGCCCTTGTTAAAGAAGGTGGAGGTTCCTCTCTGCCTGCTGGAGGTGCTCAAATCCTCTGCTCTGGCAAAATGTTCCCTCACCTTGCAGGTCAGGAATATCCAGATGCAAAAACTCCTTCTGCTTGTCAAAAGCAGTCATCTGGCTTTAAAGCCCAAATAACTCTTTTTTTTTTATTTATTTATTTTTTTAATAGTGGCTGCCTGTCTGCTGCTGCTCCTACTTTAAAACAAAACAACCAGCCTCTAGCAACCTTCAGAACAGATCTGTAAAACTCTCCAACTGACTCTAACAAGCAAAGGCAAGACTGTGACAAACCTGCCAGCTTTCTTTTCGTGGATTAGATCATCTTCAGGGAGAGCAAGACTGGCATTTAAAAATGTAGCCTTTGAACTGGACCTTTTTTTGTGATGAAGCTGGTCCCGGGGACACTTGGGAGATGATGACAGCAGATGCGGTGAGGAGTCAGTGGAGAAGGGGCTGTGGGACAGACATGGGGCTACTGACAGGGTACATTTACTGGACTGTGCTCAGCCAAAAAGGTTTGGGTTTTATCTTTAGGCAAGAAATGAGGCCAACAAAGAAGGAATGATTTATTTGTCCCTGTTTTTCTTGTCAGAGTCCAGGTTAGATGACTTGGCTTGAATTTTGAGAAAAGAATAATCACTAGACTTATCTACATCTCTAGGAACACAGGCTTCTTTTTCTGGGCTGCCTATATTATTAGTTTATCCAGCTTCTCTCTGCTACATTTTTGTTCTGCATTGCCCAAACAGATGGGTTCCCTTCCTTTGCTATTGTGAGTGGAGACAGATGCAAATAAATAGGCACTTGTGCTCTGTTGTGTGGTTACCTAGAGAGGCTGTTGTTTGCAAACAAAGGCTGTACCAGGACACAAATAGCCTCGTTTGGTGTAGCCTGGAGATACACTTCATTAAAAATACTGCTGTGGGGTCCCCCACGCTGCCCTTCAGCGTTTCTCATTGGAACTGAGTGCAGCGGTGGTGGCAGCATCCACCAAATCAGAACTGATCAAGAGCGCTGTAAGATGCTGACATTTCAGAAGAAAGGAGGAGCAAAATGTATAAGCTCTCCTCCTCTCCCCTCCCAATTCTCTAACCTATTGTTCCTTTAGATGCTTGAATAAATAAAGGAAAAAACACTGCTGTGGAGCACAAGGCAGCCGTTTCATAACAGCTCACGTACATGCAAATACAACATCCAGCTTTCTCCCCTGTCCTGTGAGCAGAGCCAGACAGCCGATACACATTACCATGCACCACAAACAGTAGCTGTTCATGTTTTAACAGGGGCTGGATGCCAGGTTGGGGAATTTCCTCATGGACCACATGGAAGCAGGGACTGTAGCTGCCAGCTCTCAAAGCCAAGTCCAGCCCTTCCTCCCACACGGAGGGCACCTGCAAAGATGCTGGGATGGAGACGCATCCCTGCCTGTCGCCTGTGAACCTTCTGGGAGCAGAGCCTGCCCCATAGCGTTGATGGCCGTGGTGACATGAATGAGATACCAGCATAGCTGTTGTAGACTCAGTCGCTGTTAAAAATGCAGAGGTCGTTAAACTACATGCCCATGCTTGTCCTGGTTCAAGCTGCATTTACAATAATATGTAGGAATCCCAGAGTTGGGTCCTACAGAAGAAAACTGAATCTCAGAGCAAGAATTGCCTTGTGGTGGAAAATGGCTGTGTGGTGCCGGTCACAGCAGCCCTTCAGCCCAAAGAGTGCAACTAGGATTTAGGGTTGCAAGGAGGGGATTCAGGACATTGGAGTGGTACAGAGGCAGGCTGAAAACCATGAAAACGTCTCAGGCACTTAAGAAGAAACACCCGAACAGAAATGGCTCCACTGGAGACAAGGTTATAACCACATGACAATAGTAACAGCCACAATCAGAGCCATGATGTAGCTTTGCATTTCTGAGTAGTATTCTCTCCTGAGAAGGTCTAGGCTTCCTTGGTTACCATGTGAGCCTTGGGTCTCAATCCCTCTGCCTTTGTTTTGCCTGCCAGAGTCTCTGTGAGGATTTTGGTGCTCTCTTCCACTGGGTGTTGGTACTTGGGTATTTATTTTAAGAGATGGGCAGCAACGTTCCTCCAGGAGTCATACCTGCTGCTCATGCTGTGTGTGCGTGGCGTTTGGAGCATCAGATGGATGTTCTACCTCAGCCAATTAAAAGTGCTCCAGGATAAAAATACTGCCATTTCCTTTCTGCTTTTCCAGGAACAAAGCATGCATTTTGAGTGCAGATGACAGTGGTGCCGTCCGTACAGGAGGGAGAGAGTCCTGAAGGTGTTGAGCAGACAGGAGCAATGCTCAGCGGCTGCAGCACAGGGAGAAGGCAGGCAGTGTGGGATGGTACCGTTTTTACAGTCCCTATTCTGCCCTTAATTATGAGCTTAAGTGATGGCTAATAAAGATGATCCAAAACAAATAAATTGAGCTGCTGCTCTAATTAAGCGGCTTTTGCTGCATGCAATGAGCCAGACCCATCTGTGTCATAGTTCGGCAGAAGCCAGGAGGGTTCCACGAGGGATTCATTTGAATTGCATCTGAACTGCTTCAAGGAGGAAAATGCAGTGCTGACCATCTTGTTTCCTACACTGCTAGCCAAGAAACACTGGTCTGTTCCCCAGACAGTCGTCCTGGGCAGGGGCACAGTCATTCACATCCATTTCATTTGATTACATCTGCCTTTACGGCAAGTACATTAACATGAGACCTTCCGTTGCTTATGGAAAGGAGCGATTGCTTTTCTGGCTAGATAATACTACAACAATAACACTTCATGGCTGCGCCCCTGTTTTTTAACCAGCCCCATACAGCAGAGACAAGAAGCGATTACTGTTGGACATATGTCTGTTTGATGGATGAAATGAGCTGACAGTCCCCTTGACAAATTGCAGCAAAAGGCTTTTCAGATCGTCCACTTCATCTCACAGGTAGGGGCTGATGCCAGGGAAGGGCAGATGGAAAGGATGGCATATATGGAGAGAGCCCACACCGTGACTGCCCTGCAGATACACAGCTTTAATTTCAGGAGCCTGAACTCTCAAACCGCACCTAACGCTCCCGCAAGCCTCCGCTCTCCAGATGTACAATGCCCAGTCATCTCTGCAGGTACAGTCCAAAATGTTTAGGGCTCCCTGTGCATGAGTGCAAATTTTTGCCTGAGAAATACTGAGCATCTGGGAGATACATAGGATATTTTTTCTCCCTCCTCTGTATTTTCCATGGAAGAGTGTAGTCTCAGCACCGTATCTTCTATGACAACAGCTGATATTTTAAAATCCACTTGCCCCAGAGAAAAGCCAGTACATAATCCTTTTGCAGGACTCCAGTGCAGGTTGTATATGGCGTCTGGTAACAACATGCCTCGGCATATTTGAAAATTATACCAGTGTTCAGCTTGAGCCTGCTCTCTTCTCCTTCATGTCACCATAATGCACCAGGGCTAGTGGTCATGACCCTGGTAAGAAAGGCATTCTCTTAAGATATTAAGATAACCATTTATTGGAGCTAATCCTAGAAGGAAAAAGGGGAGAGCATAGAAAATCTCATGTCTGTTCAGTTGCAGGGCACTGCAAGTTGTGCAGCATCAGCTGGATCTCCGATCAGGGCATAGCACCCTGCGCAGATCCCATCCGTCTGTCGTGTCACCAACACTTTGGTCTTTAGAGCTCTTGCAGGATTTTATTAGAAGAACTCTGTTTCTCATCCCAAGTGCCAAGCAAAAGCATGGTCACACGTCAACATGCTGCTTCACTTGAAGATAAAGGCAAGGACACGCAGGTGGTGTGATCGCCGGTGCCAAGCGGGAGCTGCCTCTGATACGATTAGCCAGCAAAGTTTATCCTGTGCCAAGGGCTACGTATGGCATGAGCTGGACAGCCACGTTGTACGTGCGGCACAGCACAGCGCCTTCACAGGGTAACTGCTGCATGGACTGGTAACTGCTGAATGTACCATGGTCGTCATCTTAGGGTCACGACAGTAACAAATAGCCACACTGATTTCTCCAGACTCAGATTTGTTGTCTCATGCTTCCTCCCCCATATGCATTCCCATCCGCCTTCTGGACAGAAAGTTATAAGATGTTTCAGCCCAAGAAGCACATTATTTTCTCTGAAAATACTTTTCTCTGAAAATCATACGCAAACAGCAATGCAGCTTCAGAGCAGGAGATCCCCCGAGGGGAATGGATGAGCTTGTGGTTTAACTATGGGATGAAGAGTCAGCAGATCAGGTTTTCTCATCCCCTGGCTCTGTGAGCTTTGACTCACTCCATGACCCCTGCATGGTTCATGCATGTTTGTTTTTCCCATCTGGAAGACCAGTATGATGACACTGCAATGGCAGCACATGGCCATTTATAGCTGCTGGGAACCACCACGGGCGCCTGCAAAGGCACACACTTTCATTACAAAAAAATCAAGCCCTTTGGGATGCAAAATGCTCCTCTGCAAAGTTTTACACCGGTGTGGTTCACCGGAGCTGCAAAGATCTACTTAGATATTTAAATATTTACCCAGGATTTAAATATTTACCCAATATTGAAAGTGTCAGTCAGTGCTCAGCGCCTGGTCCCCTGGGGATGCACAGCCACGTGGGCGGCTGTGCTCTGAGGAGCTGTGCTGTGGGGCCGGACTGCCAGGGGCTGCAGCGGCCCTGCTGCCTCTCCAGCCGCCCCAAGGTGGGATGGGGCACCAGGGCGGGGGGAGGCCCTGGAAGGCCCTGAGGCACACTTTCTTTTTCCCCATGCATTCCTCTCCCCGCTTCAGCACCCACTGTCTCCCCCAGGCTTGCCTGCAGCTCAGCCCCAGGGCAGGGCTTCCTTCACTTCCCCTCAAGCCCATCACTGAAGATCTTTGCTCCCACACGGCCTTCCTGGAGCATTCCCAAGATCCTCCTTGGCTTTAGCTGGGAGTGCTTTATGAAACGCTGCCCCGGCGAGAGGATGGTACAGTTTTACTTCCTGCAGGCATCTGTGTTTCAGGATGGGTATCCTGGGACAAGCCTCCTGGAGAGGAGGTGTTTGGGGCTCCTGAGCTGGCAAAGCCCCTGGTCTTGCAGGATGTCCCATCCCCTCCTCTGCAGCCCCACCAGGTATACCAATCACTGCAAAGGCTTGTGGCATTTGATGGATTGCCAAGAATAATCTAATGCCCTTATACTGAGGAAGTAAATCACGTTGTGTTCCTCAGGGGAGCTTGTACTGCCCTGCCTGGTCTGCTCTGTCTTCAGGATCTGTTGTCCCTCTGCTCTCCTCTTTCAGCTCCAGTCATGTCCTGCTTCAGCACCCTCTTCTCTTTGGATCTTTCCTGCTGTCCTGTCCCCTCTGCAAACACTACTGCCATTGCCAGGGTTTGTTGCAAGTGCAGGAGCCACCAGTCCTCCACAGCTTCATGCACTGGAGAAAGCCCTGCCCTGGGAATTTGACAGCTTCTCCAGCCCCCTCTCCACTTGCTCTGCCCTGTCCATTTGCCCTGAAACTCTCCACAACGCAAGGGACTGCTGCTTTTCATATTATTTGGGCAATGCCTTACAACAGCATAAGCCTTGCTTTCCAATTGTCCCCTTTAATGCTACATTAGCAAGAATAAAGCTCTCTCTCCTCAACGATACATCTCCAGGCTCTTTACAGAGAAGAGGGTCTTTGCCCCCATTTTACAAGTGTGGACACTGGACTTTTACACAAGTGACTTGTGCAAGATCTCCAGGCAGAGAAGCAGCAGCAGAGCTGGCAGAGCTGCTAAGTCCCATCCCAGTGAAGTTGCCTAAGAACAGGACGTACAAACAGACAAAGGTTACGTGCAGGTTGCAAAAGGTAGAGAAGATAGAAGAGGAGAAGAAGGTTAAATCCAAGATGCAGGGTGTGATGTTCAGATCTCATCCCCCTTCCACATGTCACTTCCAGTATCTGCCAGCCCATTGCAGTGTACACTCCACCATGGCGGTGGGGTGTTCAGTACATATTTGCCATGTCCTTGAAAGAGCAGAGCTCTGCAAAAGCATGTGTTTTTTCCCATTATTTTCACTGGGGAAAGGGGATGACAAGCTTAAAATCCACAGGGCCTCATGTACCTGCACCAAGGAGATAAAATCCACAGAAGTCTCCTGTAACGATCAACATACACCAAAAGAATAAACATCCCGAAAACATAGCACAAAACTGTCCCAGCACGATAGTTGCTCCTCAATGCATGCTGTTCATTTTCCACCAGGTTGCATGGGACAACATCCCAGGGGAGAATCCACACAGCCACAGCAAAGCAGTTGCTGTCCCCAGTTTCTTCTGGTTGAGACTGTGACCCTGTGCTTTAGAGAGCACCAGTTCTTTTGAGAGGTGGGAGAGCACAGTGGTTAGTGTGAAAACTGGAGAGATCAGGATTTGATTATTCAGACTTCACTGCAGACTCAGGGCAGTGTTTCTAAAACTCTTCTGCGGCTGTGGGATGGGAGGGAGCTAACGTTTGTCCCCTTCTCTCTTGCAGGTCCCACTGGGTGTCCATTACTGTGAGTTAAATTTTGCTGGTATCTTGGTCTGCCAGGGATTGTATCAGGAAAACCATACTCTTCATTCCTGGTGAGAAGGTGACTGATCTGTGCAGAAAGTGTAGAGTGACTAACAAACTAAAGTATTAAATTCTCATTGGGTTAAGAGCAGAGGAGCAGCCCTGGGAAATGAAGGCCACTGCAGGTAAAGCAGAGGCTTACTTAAGGCATCTTCTTGGAGCCAACAAGACCACCATGTTTTAACATCATCTCTGAAAATACTCAGTGTAAAATACTTTGCATTTTCAAGGTAGCGTGCAAAGAGCAGCAAAGAGCTGCAGTAAATATTAAGCTTGCCTGAAAGCTAAGAAAACCAAAGCATAGAGAGGTTTTGGGCAGGGCTGGGTCCTTCTGTCCTAAGCCTAGAGCTCCTCAGTGCTGCAATAATTCACATAAGCACATGAGACAGCCTAGCATCGTGGGAACGGGTGCCAGCCTGTCCCTGGACAGACATGCCACCTTGGCACCCTTCAGCCTGGCGTGGACACAGGGGCTGTTCCCCTGCTGAAGGCACGTCCTTGCCCCTTGCAAAAAACCCTCTGGGCCCTCAGCCCCTGTGTCTTTCAATGCACAGGTGATGTTTATGTGGTCCTTCTTGCACTAAGCCCTTCGCTGAGCCATCTCCTTTGGCTTTTCCCATCCAGGAGCGTTGTGTCTGGTGCCTTGATCACAATTCCGAAGTCCAAGGACGAGAAAATGTCCCCTTTCCTCTGCAAAAATATATTGGTCTTCCCAACCAAAAGAAATCCCACCTAGTTAAGCAAGCGGTTGCTCTCTGCTGGGCTGATGCTGCCATCTTCTGCCCACCCGGTGCTTTGCTGCCGAGAACTTCCCCAGCCCCTGGCCCAGGGACCTGCCCCTGTGCAAGGTGAAGGAGATGGGAAAAATGCAGG